AACAACAGCTTATTAAATATTAAGAAGTAGATTTGAATATACAAAAAGGATTCAATTATTTGCGTATATTTTTCACTATCTCATTGGTTTATGATTTAATGGACCATGCAAAGTTTATAAATTATTTATATTTGTTTTCTAATTAGTGTTTTCTAATTAAATCAGTGGTTTATAAATTAATATCCATCATAGTGCACACTAAATATACGGAACTTCTATTCAGTCTAAATTTTTCCCGAAGGTATACCATTTGTTAATTTAATTAATTAATATAGTGAAAATTAACCACAGATTACTCAACTTTTAATCTTTATTTTCAAGTAATAAAAATAAAAAAGAATATTTTTACTGGCAAATTTATACAATGGCACTCATAACGGCATACTGGGGCTTGGATGGCCTAATAGTTCTGACAGCTCTTATTGCAGCTGCTTATTTTTATATGACACGCAAATTTAACTATTGGAAAAAACGAGGTGTCTTGGAAATGCCACCAATACCATTCTTTGGCAACTTTTCAGACTGCGTGTTTTTGAAAAAATCTCCTGGACATTTTATGAAGGAGTTTTATGATCAAGCGAAAGGAATGCCTTACATCGGATTTTACATATTAGACAGACCTTGCTTATTGATTCGCGATCGTGAGCTTGTTAAAAATGTGTTAATAAAGGACTTCAATTACTTTGCCGATCGATACGGCTCGCCGGATACGAAAGATCGTCTCGGTTATGCGAATCTCTTCTTTCTCAAAAATCCAGCTTGGAAGGTTTTAAGGACGAAGTTGACGCCATTTTTTACATCCGGCAAGCTGAAAAAAATGTTCGAACTAATGCTAGAGTGCGGCAACAATCTAGAAATCTATCTCGATTCATTAAAATTAGAAGGTAAGTACTTCATTTACAAACTTATAAAATTATGGAGAAATATGAAAATCGCAAAATAATTGAAGCGGAAAAATATATCTCTCTTATCATTATATCTATATCTATATGTTATATCTATATGATTTGTTTACGTTTAATAATACCTAATATTATTAACAAAATTATTTTTTTATAATCAGACTTTACGATATTCAAACGATATTTTTTTAAATAAATGCGAAAAATATGCTGTATACAATTTTGTACAAATTGTCGTTTTTATAATTTTAATATACAAATGACACATACAAATATTAAGCTAAAAAATGTACTGTATATGATTTTCCATCAGTTAATCCTTCTCATAATTTTTATAATGCATATAGATATTAAGTTTTAGTGCTATAATTATTTATAAAGATACAGTGAAAAATTATCAAAGGACAAAAATTTATTTTTCTCATTTAATATCACAAAAGATTAAACATGATCGTGCTGTTTTTATTTACACCATTCTTTTATTTATATTATATTATGACAATTTTATATACACAATTTTATATACACAAATTTCAATTTAATCAATCCACTTCGAAATTAACGGTGTTATTATAAAATATTATAATATGCACTATCAATAATAATGCATTATAATTGATTTCTACCAACACAGGTTAAATATAATTTTAATTTAATTTACATTTTATTTTTTTAATCTTAAGAATTAGAAAAAAATGAAGATATAAATTAAATCAAGATTCAAATAGACATTGATAAAAATGGACATTGGATAATAAAAACAACGCGATAGCGTCGCATGGTAATCAAACAATTCAATTGACATATTAATGGCAGGTAAAGAAAAAGAGTTAGACGCAAAGGAGATAGCTGCCAAATTTACGACTGACATAATCGGCAGTATTGCCTATGGACTTCAAGTGAATTCGTTAAATAATCCAAATGCCGAATTCAGAGAATACGGCAAAAAGATCTTTTATTTTAACTTTATACGCGGTTTCGAGCTTATTGCAACGTTCTTTTTTCCAAGTATAGTTCGTTTAGCCAAAATGAAGGCGTTCGGCAAAGAAGCGACTGTCTTCTTACGCAAAGTCTTTTGGGACACGATCCTTCAACGTATGGCATCTGGCCAGAAGAGAAACGATCTCATAGATATTCTCGTTGAACTCAAAAAATCTTACGGTGATAAGGATGTTGGAGGAGGATTCAGTAAGCAAATGATTTCTTAGGCTTTTGCACAAATACTTCGTTTTTCATTTAATAGCAGAAAAAGGAAAGGAAAAAAAGAGTAATAACGCTATGATTTCTAATATAAAAGTCAAAATATTTACTTAATTTAGGAATCAGAATTAAGTAACAATTTCAATGGTTAGAACTAAGCGCATTATTATAATTTTTCAAAATGTAAAGAAATAATTAAATTTTAGAATTCGACGGAGATGATTTAGTAGCACAAGCAGCTATTTTTTTCACTGCTGGTTATGAAGGCTCTTCATCAATGATATCTTTTACTTTATATGAAATCGCTCTACATCGTGAAATTCAAGATAGGCTTAGAAAAGAAATTCTGGACGCGCTTAACGAATCTGGTGGCAAGATCACATATGACATGGTACGCAAACATCGTAAATTACTTTCTAATCAAGATATTTGTTATAGCAATTTGAAATACTAAACAATTTGATATGCTAACAAAAGAGAAATATTATAATCAATCTATCATTTAAAGTATTCATCTTGAAGTATTCATCTGCAAAATCTCCAATGACGATTATTCGGTCATCATGGCTATTATACAAAAATGATATTTCTTTTTTTCATTTCGCCAGGTCACATCGCTGCCGTATCTCGACATGGTGGTTTCCGAAACTTTGAGAATGTATCCGACATTGCCATTCCTAGATCGGGTAGTAATGGACACGTACAAAGTGCCTAACACTGATTTAGTTCTCGAGAAGGGTACGCCGATTTACATTTCGATGAGTGGCATGCACTATGACCCCGAATACTTCCCCGACCCAAATAAATTCGATCCAGAGCGATTCTCCGAGGAGAACAAATGTAACATACCACCATGCGTCTACTTTCCATTTGGAGACGGTCCGCACATATGCATAGGTGAGTGTATCGTTTTTGATATTTAACATTAAGACAATTGTAATTGACATTGTAATTAATATAGTTATAAAATGAACAATAATTTAAGTAAAATATAAATTCTTACATTTTGACATTATAAGACAAATTACAATTCTAAACATTATCTTGAAGCTATTATCTTAAGTATATTATTATGCATTTCGCAGGTGCTCGTTTGGGACTTTTACAAATAAAACTGGGACTTATCAAAATTTTAAGCAAATACGAAGTGGAACCATCCGCACAAACTTTAATACCTATGATTATGAATCCAAAAGCTCTTTTGACCTCATCATTGACTGGTCAGATACATCTTAACTTCCGAAGAGTTAATGCTAATTAGATAGCAATATCAAGAATGTGATACTGTCAAATATTATTTTCTAGCCACAAGACATATAAAACTCGATTTTATGTATATAATTGTATATAATCATTATTCCAATAAAAATATCTCATAAATATATTAACTGGACAGATCATATTTTTTATCTGCATTATATTGTTAATGATTTTTATGACAATATTATATTTCTTATTATATTATTTAAGACATTTTTTTATATATGTTGATATATGTAGATTAATTTGTTTTTATTTGTAAATACTAGTTAAATAAAAAAATGTAATTACAATTAACAAATTTTAACTTTCTATACAATTTATTTAATTTTCTATATAAATATGAAGATTTAAAGACTGATTTTATTAGTCTACTAAAAAGAAATTCAATTTAATATGTATTAAAATCATACATTATATATTTTCAGTTACATTATAAAATAAAAAATATTAGAAATAAATAAATGTATATGATATTTTTAAATTTATATATCCTGAAAAAAGTAATTGTAAAATATTTAAAAAATAAATAAACTCAGTTGTAACATTTCTTATATCTGTCATTTAATTATATTCTAATTTATCTATTTTTTAACATAAAAAATAAAAGAAATGTAATTGTATCTAATAAAGTAACTTTTATATACTTTTTAGTATATAAACATTCTTAGTATCATTATTTTTATAGCATAGTTTAATAATATATGCTTTAATAGCAACAAAAATTAATCTAATTATTTTTTCTTTGTAAACATTTTTTAATTTATGATACAGTACAAGTAGAAACTATTATAACAAAAATTAATTATAATAGTTTTACATTTTTTATGGATCTTTTTCTTAAATACAATATTAAGAAATAAACAAGTCTATTTAAGAATTTTAAATAAAAAATACCTTCATTATCTTACCACAAAATTTAAATATAAGTCGTCACACGAAGTTCATAAATTATAATTCAAGGTAACGAATGCGAATAACGAATGCGAATGTTAATAACTACCATTAGATTATACTCTTCATATACAGAAAATAATAATAATAATTTTACTAAAAGATTTGAATACAATTCAATGTACGTTCGTTATATTTAGAAGAAAAAATATAACTTAAAATTTAAATAAAAAAATATATAAAATCTAATAAAATAAGTATAATGAAGAAAGATTTTTCTTATGTTTTCAAAAGAAATGAAGAAAAGAAGAAAAGTATTCAGATAGAATAATTATACTTGTGAGAGTAAGTAGTTCAAAGAAAAATTTATTTTGATTTTTATTAATTAACATAAGTAATAATTATAAGTAAAGTTGAAAACAAGTATGACAGCTGTTAAGTGATAGTGCAATTTTCCAAACGTTTCATTATCATAGATAATTATATATCCTGGTATGAATATATCGAGGTTTTAATTATGTTCACAATATCAACAGAAGTGAAATCAAATAACTGATAATTTTAAATTAGAGAGTTCCGACTGCTCAAGTAAATAAATACATATTGGATATAATTCTTATCTATCTTGTGTGCTACAGTGCTTAAAGTGTTATTAAAGTATCTTGAATAGATGATGAAAATAAAAGAAATAATAAAAAAAACAACACGATAAAGTATAAAGGGGGAGATAAAAAGAATACATAAGTACATCTATATATGAGATGCAGAAATGTATACTACGCCTTTGCCATCGGAGCCTTTGATCGAAAAGAATCGCCTTCGCGATATTCAGTTGTGTCAGTTTCTACGTTCGATCTACAAGTACAAAGTGAATCTGAAAATGGAATTTTATTATTAGGTTTTATGCTCTCGTTTATAATTGAACGCGCAAACTTATTAAATAATAAGAAATATAAAAAATTAAAAATTAAGTATAAAAAAAGATTTAATTATCCGAATACGCGTATTTTTACCGCACTGATTTACGGTTCAACGTACCATGTATTGTCATGAAACATTTATATTTGATTTTATAATTAAAATCAGCGGTTTATAAATTAATATCTTAGTGCTTAGTAAATGTGTGAAACTCTTATTTACTCTAAATTTTTCCCGAAGGTATACCATTTGTTAATTTAATTAATTAATATAGTGAAAAGTGAAACCACAGATTACTCAACTTTTAATCTTTATTTTCAAGTAATAAAAATAAAAAAGGATATTTTTATAGGCAAATTTACACAATGGCACTCATAACGGCATACTGGGGCTTGGATGGCCTAATAGTTCTGACAGCTCTTATTGCAGCTGCTTATTTTTATATGACACGCAAATTTAACTATTGGAAAAAACGAGGTGTCTTGGAAATGTCGCCAATACCATTCTTTGGCAACTTTTCAGACTGCGTGTTTTTGAAAAAATCTCCTGGACATTTTATGAAGGAGTTTTATGATCAAGCGAAAGGAATGCCTTACATCGGATTTTACATATTAGACACACCTTGCTTATTGATTCGCGATCGTGAGCTTGTTAAAAATGTGTTAATAAAGGACTTCAATTACTTTGCCGATCGATACGGCTCGCCGGATACGAAAGATCGTCTCGGTTATGCGAATCTCTTCTTTCTCAAAAATCCAGCTTGGAAGGTTTTAAGGGCGAAGTTGACACCATTTTTCACATCCGGCAAGCTGAAAAAAATGTTCGAACTAATGCTAGAGTGCGGCAACAATCTAGAAATCTATCTCGATTCATTAAAATTAGAAGGTAAGTACTTAACTTACGAACCATTAAAATTAAAAAATTATTATGAGAAATGTGAAGGTCACAAAACAATTAAAACGGAAAAATATATCTCTCTTATTATCTCTCTTATCAATATCTTTATAACACAGTTATGTTTAATAATACCTTACATGTTTAATAATGTTAATGTTAAACAAATGTCATTTTTTCATAATCAGATTTAAGATATTCAAATAATATTTCTTTAATATTTTTTAAATAAACATGAAAAATGTGGCAATACAATTGTGCAAAATCAAATTGGTCGTTTTAATAATTTTTAAATACAAATAACACATACAGATATTAAGTTGAGTGCTACAATTATTTATAAAAATACAGTAAAAAATTATCAAAAAACGAAAATTTATTTTTCTCATTTAATATCACAAAACATCAAACAACGTGATCATACTGTTTTTATTTACACAATTTTTTTATTACACAATTTTTTATTTACACAATTTATATTTTATATCAATTTTATACCACAGATTTCAATTAAATAAATCCAGTTTGAATCTAAGATGAACGATGCATTATGATAAAATCCGAATACACGATGTATCAACGCAATTATTCATTATATTTTGCTCGTATCAACACAGATTAATATTTTAATAATAATTTAACACATTTTTTATCTTCTTAATGTTAAGAATTAAAAAAAATAAAAATTAAATCAAGATCTAAATAGATATTAGTAAAAATTATTGGACATTGAGTAATAAAAACAACGCGATTGCGTCGGATAGTATTCAAACAATTTAATCGACATATTAATGACAGGTAAAGGAAAAGAGTTAGACGCAAAGGACATAGCTGCCAAATTTACGACCGACGTAATCGGCAGTATTGCCTATGGACTTCAAGTGAACTCGTTAAATAATCCAAATGCTGAATTCAGAGAATATGGCAAAACGATCTTTCATTTTAACTTTATACGCGGTTTCGAGTTTGTTGCAATGTTCTTTTTTCCAAGTATAGTTCGTTTAGCCAAGATGAAGACATTCGGCAAAGAAGCGACCGTCTTCTTACGCAAAGTCTTTTGGGACACGATCCTTCAACGTATGGCATCTGGCGAGAAGAGACACGATCTCATAGATATTCTCGTTGAACTCAAAAAATCTTACGGTGATAAGGATGTTGGAGGAGGATTCAGTAAGCAAATGATTTCTTAGGCTTTTGCACAAATACTTCGTTTTTCATTTAATAGCAGAAAAAGGAAAAGGAAAAGAAAGAGTAATAACGCTATGATTTCTGATATAAAAGTCAAAATATTTATTCAATTTAGGAATCAGAATTAAATAAGAATTTCAATGGTTAGAACTAAGCGCATTATTATAATTTTTCAAAATGTAAAGAAATAATTAAATTTTAGAATTCGATGGAGATGATTTAGTAGCACAAGCAGCTGTTTTTTTCACTGCTGGTTATGAAGCCTCTTCATCAGTAATGTCTTTTACTTTATATGAAATCGCTCTACATCGTGAAGTTCAAGATAGGCTTAGAAAAGAAATTCTGGACGCGCTTGACGAATCTGGTGGCAAGATCACATATGACATGGTACGCAAACATCGTAATTTACTTTTTAATCAAGATATTTGTTATAGCAATTTGAAATACTAAACAATTTGATATGCTAACAAAAGAGAAGTATTATAATCAATCTATCATTTAAAGTATTCATCTTGAAGTATTCATCTGCAAAATCTCCAATGACGATTATTCGGCCATCATGGCTATTATACAAAAATGATATTTCTTTTTTTCATTTCGCCAGGTCACATCGTTGCCGTATTTCGACATGGTGGTTTCCGAAACTTTGAGAATGTATCCGACATTGCCATTCCTAGATCGGATAGTAATGGACACGTACAAAGTGCCTAACACTGATTTAGTCCTCGAGAAGGGTACGCCGATTTACATTTCGATGAGTGGCATGCACTATGATCCCGAATACTTCCCCAACCCAAATAAATTCGATCCAGAGCGATTCTCCGAGGAGAACAAACGTAACATACCACCATGCGTCTATTTTCCATTTGGAGATGGTCCTCGCGCATGCATAGGTGAGGATATCGTTTTTGATATTGACATTAAGACAATTATAATCAGTAATATAATTATGAAATAAAAAATAATTTAAATAAAATAGTAATTCTCACATTTTGATATTATAAGATTTTGATATTAAATTACAATTCTATACATTATCTTGAAGCTATTATCTTAAGTATATTATTATGCATTCCGCAGGTGCTCGTTTGGGACTTTTACAAACAAAACTGGGACTTATCAAAATTTTAAGCAAATACGAAGTGGAACCATCCGCACAAACTTTAATACCTATGATTATCAATCCGAAAGCTCTTTTGACCTCATCAGTGACTGGTCACATACATCTTAACTTCCGAAAAGTTGCTAATTAAAGTTATAGTTTACGGTACCGAATGCAATATTAGTAACTTCTGTTAGAGTATATTCTTCATATGCAGAAAATAATAATATTAATTTTACTAATAAATTTACATGTTAGTCCTCGTACAAAATGCATAAACAGAATAATTCAAGGTGATAAATGTGATATTAATGACTTCCGATAAATTACATTTGTCATATGCAAAAAATAAATATATTTCCTATCATATACTATTGTAGTGCAGTCAATGTAATTTTTATAAAATAAACAAATTTTATTTGACTTATTAATAATTAGCATTGAGTGATAAATAGCTGTTTTAAGACCTTTAAAATAATTTTCAGATTGCTGATTGTAACTATATCTTCCTCAATTCTTATAATTGCAAAATTTGAATGTTTATTTGTAGAAAATGTGTAGAAAATAAATTATGTAATGGAAAACTATACGTAATTCATAAATTTCTAATATGCCACAATTATTATAAAAATTTAAAAATATTGTTTTTACTTTATATCAATTTGCGCAATTACAAGTAATATTACTTGTAACTACAAAATGATAACACAGTATAATCAAAAATATATGTAAAAAAATGTTTAATAGATAAGATAATTTAATGTTACTTATGTCATATGACATACGCAATACTTTTTTATAAAAATTCAATTCATAACTAAATATGGCATCATACGAAACATCAAACTGCTAAAGTATATCTAATACATAAGAGGGTCTTCCATTTTTATTTATTGTTAATTATAGTTTATGTCCCAATATATTCAATATATTATTTATACTTTCTGTGACAAATTTTTCTCTTTTTTTAGACATATTTTATTATATAATGTAACAAAATTGAATTTTATTTTGCCCATTTTGAAATATGGAATCCATTTATCCAAGCTCGATTTGTGCAATTTATATTTGTTTTTTATTTAAATTGGTCGCAATAATAAATTTCAAATCTCTTTGATCATAAATATTTTATAGTTGATGTTCAAAAGAAAAAATTTACTGACTTTTTAGTGACTTTAGTGACTTTGCCTAGACTCAAATAATTATATAGGCAGTATAATCAAAATTGTAAACAATAATTAAGTAATTATTCGAAAGGATATAGTCATGTTATTTAATATGACACTTCCTTATAATCTTTTGAAATTAATAACAATTCATGAATAAAGTAATATTTATACGATCATTAAATGCCCTGAGAGAGGGGGGGAGAGGGAGGGAGGGGGGATAGAGAGAGGGGAGATAGAGAGAGGGGAGGGAGGAGAGAGGGGGGAGATAGAGAGGGAGGAGGGGAAGAGAGGGAGAGAGAGAGAGAGAGAGAGAGAGAGAGAGAGAGAGAGAGAGAGAGAGAGAGAGAGAGAGAGAGAGAGAGAGAGAGAGAGAGAGAGAGAGAG